TGAACCATCTCATACAAGCGACCAAGCTACACCCGGAGCGCAGTTGATTCCATCAAACTGTGAGCTTGATACCTGTTCACCACTTTCTTCTCGAGTAGGTGGGCAGACCAATTCTTCAGGAAGAGGGAGCACATCTACCGCGGGACATTTACCCGAGCTCTCCGTCAGTGACATTGAGACACAACTCGGTCCAACTGTTGGATTTGAGTTGAACGATGTCTTTAAGGGGCTAAATACTAGCGAGACGAGCAGCGGGATTCTCACCGATTCTGGTGCAAGAGATGTAGCTCAGGTACCGGCATTCCTTGGTGAAGAAGTTGCCACTCCACCCGAGATGTTAGGACAACGTATACAACAGCAGCAACAGGCGCAGCAGCATCGTTTCTCCACATCTCAACCGACTGTACACCTGGTACAAGCCAGCCCAGAACAAATTCTGCGTTCCTCACAGGGACAGCATTTAGCCGAACAATCACGCGAGATTCCCCAACATATCCAATCGGGCTTGCCTATCGCGACTCTTCAGCGGTCTTCCCCCATGACGAATGTCCAGCAGCAGCAACAACAACCACGTGTTTCGATACAACAACCGCAGTTTGAAGCTCAAAGTGGGTAACAACCGACAGATTTCCGTTGGTTTCCAACTAATGGTTACGGTTCATCGCCTTTGTATAGCTTGTCAGTTTGAATCTGTCCTGGAGTATGTAGTTCCACTTTTTGGTATATGAGTTAATCAACTTATGTTGCCACGATAATGTTGTTTGAAGTTTCAGGTGAAGGTTCGACGGCAAACCGTTTGAACGATTGCTTTTAGTCAACATTTTTCACAAGGCTTGTCACAACATCGAATGGATTATACCATAGTGTGTTGTCTGTTTGCCTATACTTTTTTCCAGGTCCACGTCTACAGCTTCGCTGCCAGCAACCGTCTTACGTATACGCTCATGTGGTTCCATCACAAGGTGGTCGCATGATTCGCAAACTCACACGTCTACAGCTTCGCTGCCAGCAACCGTCTTACGTATACGCTCATGTGGTTCCATCACAAGGTGGTCGCATGATTCCGCAAACTCAAAAGCAGCAGCAGCAACAACAACAGCAACAGCGGTTGGTCAACTCACCTGGCCTTACTAGTTCTCATCCATCCGGTAACCAATCTCATGTTCAAATGCTGGTTAGTGGCCACGCATCCGCCACTCATTTTATTGCACACCCTGTCCAAGCAAGGTCCCCACATGAGCGCACACCACCTCCACCGCCACCACCCTATCCGACGCAAGCTTTGAGACAGACACATATGTGGCAGCATCCTGCTGCACAACCGCGAATCCTCACCCCCACCGGCCAAGGCACAATAATGCTCACAACTTCTGGACAAGCTATAGCAACTCATGGCTCCAACTCTGCTCAGCTTATCATGTCACCTCCTGCTACACCGATTTCCATACAAACACAACACGTGTTACCTCCCACTGGTCCACCAACGGGCCAGATGGATTCCGGGCAGAGAGTATGTATCCAGCAGACTGGCGTTCAACGTGTCCCCACTCATGTGGTCATGCATGGGCAACAGGTGGTACAACAACAACAGCAGCAACAGCAACACTTGCACGCGTATCCGTCTGAGCACGTGGGGATTCACGGCACAAGACAAGTTTCGTTCGTCACGAGTCACCGACCGGGCTCCGTTCAGCCATCACAGCCCTCTGCTGGTGTTCTTCGGTTCGCTACAATTACGGAAGAAGCAGTACCTCGTCCACCTACTGAATCTCATCTTCTCTCAATGTTAAATCCAAGTATGTGTGTCTCAATAATGCTAGATTTTCTCTTTGCGAACCGTTGCAAAATTTAACCAAATCGTATCGCGTCTCGTGAGGTCTCGTAATTTTTCGAATCTTGATGTATATGGACTCCGTCAGAATTTACCGGAGATGCTATGTTTCGTTCTGACACTGTCCTGGCAAAGTGGTAACTTCAATCTGGCTTCAGTTCGTCGAACCGAATACCACTTGGTGTTTTTGCTGCCTTGAAAATATACCGATTGATCTGTAAGTTACTTACATACATGCATGTGTTACATACGTATGTTGCATACACATGGGTCAGTAGACACTGACTGAGCAGACCAGGACTGGACGACCCCGCGTACCTAGGTCAAAAATGTCCGAGGTTATTTGTGATGGTGCTCAGATGATTCGCTTAGTTTTATTTTATTGGTATAACTTGTGTTTCAAAGTGTCGGAATGCATTTGAATTTAAAAAAAGACACCCCCTTGCATGAAATCCAGTGTACTCGATTGCGCTTTCTAAATTGAGGAAGGGATAAAACATACCGAACCATAAAGAAATTCGCAACCCTAGCTCTCTATGGTTCAAAGACACACTTTCGGTGTTTTCCGAACACTCAGCCCTCTGGTCTTTCCTCAACGCCCAGTGAAGCTTCCACAGAAGACCGATTCACAACGGAAGTGTTCCCTTTTGTTTCGCGCAACACAGCAAGCTAGAACAGTAAAATAGGCACCTAAAACTCAACCTGTGTGGGAAATCTGGATGTCTCTGTGTTTTGTGGAGCTGCTGGTGGTATACGGTTGGGTACGCTCTGATAAAAGTACGTATTTCATTTGTGCAGTGGTAATCACTCATAGTGTTAACATTTTGACCCTTGCACAGATCCTGAGTATTAAGTTAACATCTAGATTACTGATAACTGTCAGTCAGCTGATTTAGTATACTGATTTCACGCTACATTTTATGTTATGAGGCTTTGTACTAGATCTTATAGGTCTGCTGATAAGGAACCTGAACTGAGTCGTTAAGCTTACACATCGAAGTCTCCTCCGGTTGGAACTACATCTAAACTTTTCGTGTTGGGTATAGTGGTGGTTATTTCTCGGGAGAAACTACCTTTCACAATCTGAAACTTGCAGTTGGTTGTTACGTAGACAGAAACTGTGAACAAATAACGGTCCTAATTTCGACCAGCGTTATTCATTACGGTGTACGGTACAGAATCAAGTAATGAAGCCTCAGCTCAGGAGTGGAAAGCAATACGAATGCCGACACAACCAGCTGCGGCAGCTGAAGAATCAAGTGATGTTCGACGGCGTCTTAATATCTAAGGTGCTGTAAACTTTATTCCTATACTTGTGTTATATATATTTGCGTTTTAGGAATGCAGCAAACTTTTATTGATTAAGTATCAAGCAAACTTCAAGCGTTTTATTGCTAACAATTTATCGGATTGCAGGCTTTGCAGTTCCTTCGTTCAGCCNCACTCTTTCGGTGCCTAGCTGGCATGCCACCCGAAGGAAGCACAAGGGCTGGGATGCTGCCTGGTAGCCCTAGCTTAGACAGAGGAAGTCGAGAGGCAGAGGTCGGGTTCGAACCACGGACCTTCCTGTCAGTAAATACGCACTATAACCACTGAGCCCTCTCGCGCCCTAGCAGTTCCTGTACGCAAATTCATCTTTTTTTTCGAAAATCAGGTCAGCCCATAATACCGGCTTCTCCGGCAAATCAACAACAACCTACTATTACTGGCCCCGCAACTGGGGGTGTGGTAACTGGGCCTCCTCCAACTTCTTCAGGACGTCGAATAAACTACCATAAATGGGAAGAAGACGAACGCCTAGGCAACCAGTCTACCATTGCTCCGGTGTTACACGCAAACGTATCGCACCCAACCCTCCGAGGACAAGTTCCTGAGTTCACTGCTCGGGCCAAAGAAATTACGAAATTGTGGCGCCGCTTGTCAAGTGAGGAGCGCGGATCATGGGTGGTAAGTTGCGTGGTATCCAGCCATGTGGTTCACTCATGACGTGTCCCAAGGTTTTCCTGTTCATGTATTTTTGATGGTGTTTAGACAAATCCTTAATTTACTGAAAATCCGTGCTAGTTTTCACTTTTCATTATGTTCTGCGGATGTTTCTTATGTCTGAGATAGCTGACCTAGCGTTAATTTTTATGTTCCTCTTAGTCACAAGCTCGGAATAATCGGACCAATCTAAGGGGTAGCCATAATCAACATGTTTCTTCCAACGCCCCTGGATCTTCGCCGTCAACCAGCACACCATCCACTCCGTCTGATACGCTTATGAGACCTCAGTCTAGCACGTCCACACCAGCGGTGTTTTCACAGGACCTGGCTGACGCACCAATGACACCACAACGCATCCTTCCAGTCCAGGCCACGAATATCAGCCCCCGTATTTTTGCTGAGGATAACACGCGACCCCAATCTGTACGACCTGGTGTTGAGTCTGTCCAGTCGTTACTATCTCAAGAGCTCCAAATCAGCCCGGATACGTCCAGCCGAGTTCGAGCGAGTTCTTCTGATTCTTTGGCTACGAGTACTCAGCTTCCTACGGTCGAGGTGGGGGATAACCATGGGGCCTCTGACCCGCTTGCTGGTGAACCTTCCTATGGTGGCGTGCACCAAACCTCTCCGTTTGGGTATTCTCAAAATCGGGTACGCAGGATATACATTACATGATTTGCCCATTTTTATAGACTTCAGTCTCTACTGTAGTTCATCGATATTCAGACACGATCGCGTTTCGTACTTTTCATAATGTCTAAAAAGGACACAAATGTTGTATGCTGACTGGTGCATCACCTCTGTACTGCTTTGTTAACTCTTGTCGAAAACCCTGTTTTGGAAAGAATAGCCGCCGGAAAACGAAAATCGCGCGGTGTCTCTGAATAGAATTTACAAGGACTTACACCTAACCGCTAAACAAGCGAGAGAAAACAGTGATCAGAATGCTGACATGATCGTCTAGTGTTAGGCATCTTGCAGCCTATCCAGGAGTTCCCATAAACTGGCACACATACGTCTAATGGGAAGTGAACACAGACGACAATTAATTATTATTATTTGTACTTTATTATTTTGCGTTGTATTGTATTGTATTATTTTATTTATTTATTTTAATATTTTGTATTTTATTACTTGTATTTGGCGTCAAGAGTTAGGTAGAACTTACTGTTGCAGTGCGGTGCTACACGAGGGAATAGCTCCTTCGTCAAATGGCTTGATGTTTTCTATAGGTTGTCACAATCAGGTACTTTCCACCGACCTCCATCAGCCGTTCGGATTTACGGTAGCTCAGTCGTCAAAGTATGACCAGAAGATCGGTTGTTTGAATCGAACCTCCTCATTTCGACTGCCCCTATCTATGTGTTGGCAATCTGACAGTATCCCAGCCGTCGTACTTTATGTGGGTTACACAACAGGTATACGCTGGAGGTTTTTTGTAGCTGAATATCCGAGCTGCGATGTTTCTCATTGCGACTCCAGGTCGTCGCTCTTCAGGACTTCATTTTTACTACGAGAGTTTCCCGTTTGAGAAACTTTATGTGACTTCATCTCTTTCCACTTTGCTGCAGAGACTAGAAGAGTGCCATCCTTCCGACATGATTCCCGGATCCACTGGTTCATGGCGTTCCGCAGCAAATACTCCTTGTGGTGGCGATCAAATCAGTCAGACAATTCCTCATGACTCGCAACAAGCAGTAGGTGGCCCGCACCCTCGAGTCTCTCCTTCACCTGGAAGAGTTACACCCAGTGCTCACCTTTTCGCCCAATCGCCTCATGCATCCATGTCGGCATCCACCGGCTCCCCGATCATTTCACAAGCCGCACCTACTAGTTCCAGTATGTATGCAACTCCTCCTGGTCTACAACAGCAGCCAACACCAATGAAGGTGCAGCAGCCGCCTCTTTCCGGACCCCCTTCACCCTCGTTCATGAAGCGACATTCCTCTGTAAGTTGCTAGTTTAATAAAATAACTGCCTCCTTGGTTGTCCTGTGGGTCACTTTATTCTACAAGATAGTGGTTATTGCAATAATCTTGTTGGTTTTATTCAGAAAGTGAAATTACCCTGAAACGTTATTTTCACTTGTCGTTCCTTGAATGTTTCATGGCGGTCTCGGCTTTCTTTTCTCGCTGCTAACTTCCTTGGTACAATATACTCGATTCCGTCCAATGTATTCAATCCACTGCTGTTTAGGAATCATAGTAAAGCTGTTATCCCATTTTATTGTATCCATTCGGAAACATTTCGACGTCAGGATCGTTCTGATTCGCACCATAGATAACGTGAATGTCTCACGCACCGTGCACCGTTTCTGGAAATCAAGCAGCTCTAAGTGATCTACTAACTAGTTTGTTATTCGTTCATACTAATCTCATGAATTTCATCCATTTGAAGCGAACGACTGTTCACTGTGTATCTTCTCTGCTTTGCGGTTACAACCTCTGACTCTACGATCGATATACTAAGTTAATTACCCTGTTTTGAACGTTTATGGTGGGACCTTTTCCAAGGAGTGCATAGGCAACAGAAGCATCCAATACAGCTCGGTGGCCACTGAAACTTGCCAATTTATTTCGCATTTTTAACGAACAGGTCCCATCTATCTCGGGCAACAGTCCCGCGTCTGCTCCGCCTTTACGCAACACCGATTCAGTGTCTCCAAGTTTCCTTCCTCAGCACCAGCATGGAGGGATAGCCGGTGTTGGCTCCGTCTCACCGATTAGTGCCAACCTCACTTCCCCCGGGAATTCTCGACCGCCATCTAGACACCAACCCGTTCAGCCAGCATCTTCTGCTCTTCCTCCACCACCTCCCATATGGCCACCGTCAACTGGGACTGCGGCCTGTCAATCTAGCCAAAGTGTCCCCATCTCGCCCACTGCGTTAAAAGAACAAACACCACCCCAACCTATGTCCAATTCTGCTTCACCAAGTCCCATGCGTTCTCCGATTGGGAGTCAGCCGGTAACAAACGTTGGTTTTCAAGCGATGCATCCGTATCCACAACAGGGTACTCTCATAAGCCCGTCACAATCTCCAGCTCCTTCTCCATCCGCGGTTCATCCAGGTTCCATGATGGCCCACCGAGCCTGTCACTCGAGTGCGACGTCCTCGGCACTTTCTTCGCCACATCACTCAATTCCTCAGTATCCTACTCTCAGCGTTAGTACCCCTACACTTCCCCAGGTGAGTATTCCTATATCATTTGTTGGGCAGTATACTGTCGGTTACTTTACCTCATACCTGTTCAAGTGCACCTGGGAAGTAAGTAAAGCTAGCACATCTTATGAGGTTGCCAGTTTGGCCATTATGCTGATACGCTTTACACAGGTCCTCACTTTTCGGCCTCTTAGCATTTGGCTGCTGCCGTATACCTGTGATCATTTTTGGGATTTGTTGAATTCACGTCATTATTGCTTGAACAGTCTTCTTCTGCCCCGACGACTTGAATCCATCTTTTCGATCTCTTCAGTACACCTTATCGGGCTACACCAGAGTAAGGCTCGATAAATCACTGTAGATTAAATCATCAGGAAGTTTGTTTAGGATGAATAAGAGGTACTCATATTGGAAGTCGCCTTGTTCTGATGTCGCCAGCTCTCACGGTGTGATAAAAAGCAATGAACATTATTCACAGGTGCCATTTATGTTACGTCTAGCACTGTGCTCTTGCGGCGTTTTCAGTGAGAAAACCCCAGCAGTTAGGAAGACTTGTCACGCAATCTCAGGTTTTGTCCTTCTCTAACTGAGTTCTGTTTTTTTTTCTCGCGCTCACTTTGTCAGCTTTCGGATCGCGATCTTCATTGATATTCCGATTGTCTTTTCGGCCCCTATCTAAGTTATTGTATTTTGGCTTCGAGGCTGCGGTTAGTGAGTTTTGAGTTTGACGCAGCAAACACCTGAAAAATGCTTTCGGGTTATTTAGATGGGTCAGTGTAGCGGCAAATGTGAAGTATGTTGTCAACAGTCGCTGTCGTCAGCAGTTTGCCTGGATCAGGATTTATCCCATTTTCTGGGGTCTGGCTGCTTCGGAGCCTAGCTAGCATACAATGAGAGACAGGGCTTTCAGGCGACAAGGTGCCTAAAATTCTGAAGTTTCTTGATATATGACCATCGCACTCAATGGCCACTTTATACCTCCTGTGTTTTATAGATGCCTACGTCAGCGGAAGTCCAACTGCCACGGACACCACAAGCTAACATCTACCTTGGTTCACAGAGCACACCGATGGCTACTCCACCTGCTGCATCACAGGCCCTTTCGGCCCCGGGTACTCCTGTTCCGCGGTCTTCTCCGGGGCATTTGACTTCACATCAGCACCAACCACAGCAGCAACCGCTTGTCGGATCCACTACCAGTAATGTCTTCGTTGTAGGTGGTGGCGCTGTTCAGCCGTTTTATCAGAATACTGGTCCATCTGAATCGGATGTAAATCAAACCAATTTTCCTGGAGATACATCCCTGGACGGCAGTCTTCGACAAAGTCAAGTTCCCGCGCCCCTCTCAAAAACAATGGATGATTCACGTTCCATCACTGCCCATCCTTCTGCTTCTTTCCATTCCCACATTTCAATGCAACAACAACAACAACAACAACAACAGCACCTCTCGCATCATCCCCAACAACCGGGTTACTCGAACGCCGACATAGAACATCAGCGACTGAGGGAAATACTAGCCCAGCGGGCGAGACGACAAATTCGCCAGCAGCAGATGCTGCAACAACAGCAGCAACAGCGCCAACAACAACAATTTCAAGAACAGGCCCACGAACAAGTGGCCATGCGTCATGGCCAGGTAGCTGGTCCAGGGCAACATGGACAACCCGTCATGGCCATACCATACTCCTCCATGGAGCAACCGACGACAGTATATGTGCAACAGCATCCGCAACATGTGGCTGAACCGAACAACCCTACTTATGTCAACTATCCAAATCAGCCAACAGCTTGGCAATATCAAACGACTTCCGTGCCGAATCGTCAACAGCCCACTCGGCAGACTTACTATGCGCAACAAGGTCCTCCTCCCCCAAACAATCCACAACAACACCAGCAGCAGTCACCAATGTTGTACCAACAATTTGTTGGTCGACCGTCCTCTCTGTCGCCAGCCATTTCCAGATCACCCACTACCCCTCTGGCCCAATCAGCCCAGCTGATTTCTCCATCGATTCAACAAGGGCCGGGGCAGTTTTACGCGCCCACTAGCTCGCCAGCCGCTCATGAGTACGGTCCTACGTCGATGAAGGTAGCGCACAACAGCACACCAGAATTCCAACAACACATGAGTTCGTACGGTCCTAGCAGCTCAGCAGCCCCAACCTATTCGTTTACTGCGGTCCCGATTCATCGAAATGAAGCGGTGAGTGTCTGTTCCAGTTAATGAGTTGTTCTTAATCGCTCCTCTTAGCTGTGTTCGGTCAAATCCTCTTACTCACCCGTCAACTATTTCTAGACTTTGGTGTTTTTAAGATGAACCTCTCACATGTGGTAGCCATCTTCTGAAGCATGCGACGTTAATATCAGATGAGTTTGTACTATCACCCTTGTTCCAAGAGGTCATTGTTCTGTCCTAGCGTTCCGGAATGCATGGATTCGCGCCTTGCTGGGAGCTGTCCCACACCGGTATGTGTATCGAGTTTGTGCCGTTACTTATTTTGAGATGAAAGTTTCATTTGGTTGTTTTTTATGCTAACCGTCTCGTAATCTTGAGATGCATTACATATTCCCTAGTCAATATGTTTGCGAAAAAGGTGTACACTGTTTATCCTGGGCATGGTTTTTGTAGTCCTCCGAGGTTGAATCCTCAAAAAGTGGTGGAATTTGTGTTCCACGGATAATATCAACTTACTAATAGTCTTGCTGAATTTCCTGTCGCACGCGCTTCTAGCCGCGCCTTATCGATGCTTGGTATTCATCCTTCTGTTGAAAAAGAATTTTCTGGAATATGCCAACCAATGTGGTATTTTGTTTTACCACCACAGGATAGAATTAATTGCCTTGGTGTTCAGTGTCTTCCTAGTCTTCCGCCTGACAGAAATCATCATTAACTGTACTCCGTGTACATGTTGTACAGTGGTTATAACTGTCGTAGTTTCATTCGGTGATAGTCGTAAAAGTAGGGTGGATAGCTACGCATTCCTTGCAGTGGTCGTCATCGTTGACCTATGTTCTCAGGAGTGATGAGAGGTCGAGAGGGAAACTGTAGGTTGAAAACACCACCTAAGATGCATGTGCGCAGTTGCGCACATAACTGCGTCATGACTATCAGTCTTCTTAATTGTTACATCTCATCTCGGGACCAAGATCCAGGGTGATAGTACATCTGTGTGTGTGCTAGTAATGAATTTTGTACTTCTCTGATACGTCATTGATCTCCTCCGACTCTTCCCCACCCTATGCGTGTTTGTGAAAAAAAGAGGCTGTCCGTGGGAGTTTGTTGATCGACGCACGAGGCACCAAGCCAGCGTGTTCTGTGGAGTATGACCAGCTCTCCTATCGTAGTTGAACTACCCCCCTCCGATATCTATTCGACGTACTTTAGCATTACTTATCCGGTGTCCTCATCCGACTTGGCCGATATACTCTGAATACGCCCATGGTTAATCACTGAAAGTTTTTTGATGCCCACTACTCGCAGCGGCCAATTTTCTGGCCCATATAAAAATATAGGGCACCCCACAGTATTGTAAACTCGACCAGCAGTCTGTTGTCACATCTAAGACAGGGAACCATCTTCAACTTGGAGGAAGAGGTGCTTTTAACAACACACTCAGTCAATCATCATCATCATTGATAGCCACCACATTATTAAAACGTCAAGCCATCGTTATCGCACAACCACGTAGACTTATTGGATAGATGAAAATAGATGAAAATAAGATGCAGAAGCCTAATGCCCCTTGTCTACACCTCCTATACTTAGTCAGATACGAGGCTATGGATTTCTGTTCACCGCCTCATTTACATACGCATACTTCGTGTCCTGAAATTGTGCTCCCACTCGCTCTGTCTAATCCTTTATTCCCTATTGTTAAATCCTATGGTGCCTACCCTGAAGGCGATCCGTATTCGGGGTGTTAAAGGGATTCTTTATGATATACGCCTTAGGTCGGTGTACGTAGATTCAGTGATCATTGTTTCTCGGAGGTTTGAATGCATTAGCGACTAGACTTAACACATCTGACACTACGTTAAGCATCTGATTTGGGTCGGACGCGGTGCGCATAGACAGCCGCGAACGGCAGCTATAGCTGTGTGATGACCGCAGACTTCCGAAACAACCGAAGTCGTTTGGTCACATGATGTCTTCCAACAGCTTACCTGAGTCCGCATGCATCTGATAGGGGTTGACCAAACCTTCATACTTCGTCAGATGCTAGAACAACACCGTACCTATAAACGACCCACATTTTTAGCATTTCTGTATTTCCAGAAAGCATCCGACTCAGTTAACCGGTTTGTTCTTAATACGTTTGCTCAAAGAGGAATGCCCTAGAAGCATGTGAATGCAGTATGTTCGTTGTGTTCTCAGACTTCTGTGCGCATGACAGTATATGGGGAGATCTGCAAAAGCTGTCGTGCAGTAAGTGACTTTCGACAAGGATGCCCACTCTCTCTATTCATATTTGATTTTTTGGTCGACGAGAAAATGAGGCAAACGCTAGAGGGTCTTCAAAACTCTGATGTTCATATACCTGTTGACGAACGCATGGTTTAAGACGTTACAAGTTATCACTGTCAATCGATGTCAGTGGCGTTCTTCGTGTGCATTTCGATCTAAGTCGCTTGAAGAGCGCACTGAGGAATGATTGTAGCAAGCTGGCACCAAGTCCCACTCCCATCTATTTTCGTTCTCTTCACAATAACGCCTTCAAATAAACTGTTTGTACTATGGCGAAGCATCAGTATTGCGCACTGCTTTCGTGCTGTCGATAATGTTAAAGATGAGCATGCAGTTAGTGTTCTGGATGTCTGGAGCATGTTCTTTGTAAGACTTACCAAGTCAGGTGCAAGTTTTACGATATCCTAATGTCCTACATGAATTACCTTCCCACGAGATCTGTGCCAGGTGCAGTTTAAGAAGTGGTCGAATTTCTCGTTCGCTCGTCAGGTTACGGTTTGACCGCCGTAACGGTGTAATATCCACCCGACCAGACAGAGCGATTCCGATACCAAGACATTTTTTCGGATTATGCTGTAACCCTTGTGACATGTATCTGAGAGAGTTTTGCAGGTTGTGCAGCTTCCTCTTCTATTTTTCTTTGTGCTTTTTCTTGCTCGAGTTTTTTAGCGTGCGGTAGGGCGATATCTTTTGCTTGTTAGTTCGTTTGCTATCTTACCATCTTCATCTAACTCGAAACTAGATGTTTGCGGGGACAAGCTCCACATCTTCTGAGACGGTTATCGGGTCCTCTCCGATGATGTCCAGTGCGCCACAACAAGTTTCCGTCTCACCGCGTGGCAACCTTGGACCTGGCATGGAAGAGGTCGGATTTGAACCTCCCGTTATTCTGAGTCGCGTTGTTTCGGTAAAAGAAAAGCGCTACCCGCCATCTGCCTTGGCAGCACCTCCTACCGGACAAATGCTCCCTGGTCGATCGTTGCCAAGCCAACCCCAAACACCACAGCCCCACCAGGTGCAACAACATCAACAACATGCACAGTATCAATCTCTGTCAACTGCTGTTCCTCCGGCCGAAATAAGAATGCAGCCTACTGCCGGGGTACAGAATATGTCAGGTTGGTTTCTCTAGTCAACCTCTAGTTATTGATATATTTGATTGATATCTTTACCCACTCCCCCAAGATGTTCGAGATCATCCGTTACTTCAAAACAGCCAAATACATTCATTTGCACACGAATTTGGTTTTGACGGGAGACTGAATTCAATCAACCTGAATTTCTTCATGTTAGTAGTGTGTTATATGTAAACGGTCTCAATCTGTTTGCCTGTGACTGGATTTGAGCGCCACCCAGGGCAGTGGTAAATGTTAAGTAACCTGCTAAATCATTGTTTTTTTCTGCCCCTGTCCTCTCGATCTTTTTCGAATACTCTTTCCTATTCATCAATCCATGGTCCACCATCTTGCTCCCATCATTCAACACAGTTTCTTGTCCTATGCCCATGAGCTCGGTGGTAAGTCCAGTGTTCGTTCGCACTGTTATTATGTCTGCCTGTGTGTAGACTTCATGGATATCCATGTTGGTGTTGGGTCTGTTTGTTTTTTTGTTTAAAGCTGTCACTACACTGCTGACAAGCCGAGCATCCCTTGCTGATGTTTATCATGCTGATCACCTGATGGTATTGCGGAATCAAGTCAATCGGCTCCTTGTGCAGATGTTTCTTTGCATGCATCAACCTTTCCCAATATGGTATTGGTTATCACTTATGAATCGTTTGTTATAACGTACCTATGTTGTCATGGTGGTTATGGGTTTATGTTGTTTGCTCGAGTGTCCTTGTCATCTCTCGCTTGTCCGTACGATTAATCGGTTTCAACACAATCGAATCCTTCCATTTTTGCGTTTCCACTTGGTTGTCTTCATTTTTCTCACCGTTTTGGGTTGTGCAGAGGAGGGACAAGAGAGAAAACAGTATGCAGCACCGAATGTTTCCTAACTGTATTTCCTGTGTCCTTACCCGCGACTAGCAAGCGACGTTAACAGGTGGTTCCGCCAATACACAACGAATTTACAAGAATACGGCTGCCTTGCTTTTGGGAGGACCACCCCCATTCCATGGGAATAGCCACATTTCGGTGGTTTGGTCCCTCCCGGAAGTGAATACTTTCATTCGCTCTCTTCGTATGCTATCGTTGATTAACAAAAGATCTGATTCGTTTAAAATCTGAAATCGTATATTTCAGATGCGTTCACTTCCGATTTAGATTTACTTGGTAATCTGAAAAAAGAGGACCCAAATTCCGTTATAATTATTGGATCTTATATACTGATGAATCATTTGTTGTTGAAAGCCGTTGTCTGATTTTTCCCATTCTTCCCCTGTGCGGTGAGTGATTGAATGGAAAGTGGTGGTGATTATTTCCCATCTCCAAGGTTGATTGTGCATCATAGTAAACTGGTTCTTAAAACTTAGGAGGACAGTGTGCAAGTTGGATCTTCAGTAGAATGCCGATACACCCCCGCTCACAGAAGGCAGGTTATAACAAACAGAGACGAAACTCTCCACGTTAGTTCTTTCCTGTGAAGACGGATGTCGGAGTTCAGTCTTGCGACAATCTCTGACGCAGCAACATTGACCTGGGACGAAGTGGATCGGTTCGAAGGCTGTTTAGTATTCGTTTTCCGGTACAACGGGACGTCTTTGGTTCCTATGGTAACCGGAGTGATAAGCTCTTAAGGGATTCAGAGATGGTCCTATCACTGGTGCATAGACTTTATCATAAACAATGCGGATTTCGTTACAGTTCTCAGGTCCAAAGCGCTTATTCACGCTTCCACATGACTTTTTGTGTGGAAGTATGGTTCCATTTATCTGGTCTTGAAAATCCCCATTTGGAATCAGGTGAAAGATGATGAACATGCTTTTTGGCAAGGTTTTCTCGAGTCATACAGTTTCAGAAACCAAGACAAATATTTCGTGAAAACAGTGTGCACCAAAAAATGAAATGAGTGGAAAACGTCATTGGATGTCAAGAAACAGTTCACTTCACCCGAATGACCTGAGGTTGCGGTTGACCTGAGGTTTGCTGTGGTTGTGTTCGGCAACGAGTACGTTTGTTGTGGGAAATGAACTGAACACTTAGGCGAACAAAATGTTCGTATCAGCAAAAAATTGGGTCTGGATGCATCACGCATGAATGGAAGGCTGTCGCCTTCCGACATGGTGGCCCAATGCTTTGTTGTCAAAAACGCTGTGTTCGCGCGTTGGTCGTACCGTAATTCGGTTCATTTCCTGGACACGCATCTGGTGTTGAACACAATCTCATGTCATCAGAGTGGTGTCTTAAACTACATGTTTGTTGATAGATATCCGTTGCTGTTGGTGTTTTTGTGTGTGGTGTCCATCTTGCTGCGAAATATTGTCTTCTTAGTTTTTCAAACTGTATGAACTTGAAAAGACATCCGCGAATTTGTCACCTCACTAAGGCACATGACATCTCCTTAAGTATTTCTAAACTATTTCATTCAACCGAATTCTGAATTGAGATAATCATTTTGATACGATGACGGGCGATAAATCCAGTGACAATTCACAAGATCAGCGTCTTCAGTCACGGGGATTGGTGGGCGTTTCCAATCCAGTGTCAGCACGCATTGATGTTCTCCCACCGTCACAACTACACAGATGCGTGTTCCTCCCTGGATCGATAGTGAATTGGCTTGATTTCAATTGTAACACGTAACCGATGACCATTACTCGGACACAAGTGAATTGGCTTGATTTCAATTGTAACACATAACCAATGACCATTACTCGGACACAGCCAGAAATATATTAATGAATCATTGGGTTTGAGTGAAGAGCACCACGGTGTCCTACAATTATCTTCTAGTGAGTGAAGTAAAATGGTGAAGAAAGGGTACCGGTCGAGAACTGTTATGGTTTCTTTTTCGTTACAGGAAAAATTCTCTAGGATGGACTGGAGAAGGGCTGTTTAAAGTAGAATCAAGTGGTCAACGAACCCAGTGTGGATGTCATTTAGCTTGCTTGTCTGCGTCAGCAAATCACGACAAGTGATGCATACTTCTCCCTCTCAGCCGTAAACGGAGGTGGGAACGTTATTCGCGTTCATCCTCATCATGTTCATAAGAGAGTTAACTGGGTAGAGTATTTCTGGCTAAATGAATTGTAGAGTACTCTTTCCAACGACGGAAAGAATATTAGGCTTCGAAAAAGGGAATTATTTGGACGACCCTCTGTTTTGTGTTAATCGGTAGAGAACAAAGCGTTAGAGCTCGTGTGACAATCTCTGCCTTGAGTCGAGTTGGTTACGTGTTATTCCGACGCGATGCTGCACCCATACGCTCAACCAGCTCCCCGAAGCTACGATTTTTTCAGGACATTGGAGTACAGCACTAATTAGCTCAGTCTGATCTTGTGCGGAGAAATTTCACCATATATTCAGTCATATCCGACTAATTTTGTACCGGAATACACTCCTGTTACGAGGTTGTATGATTGCCCTATTTTCCGTAATGTCTACCGTGAAATCTTTATACGCGGCAGGTAGCTGTTGGAACCTATTAGAATGACACATAGACCCGAAGACGATTGTGACAAAATATTCTAACCACTTTTAGCTTTGAACAAACATTGGAAAGTGAGTGGCCACATTTTATGCGAGACACGTACTAGAGTTGCATGCCTGTCATCTGTCTGTTCCATCTAGGTGCGTATACCTACCCGGAACTTGACACGGGCAGTGGGACACTGGTTTTGGTTACCTGTGTTACTGCCGTTGATTGTGGTGTCCGTAGCCCGTCCCGAAACATTTGCCTCCTTAGTCTTCATGACACGTCCGAGTTTGTTGACTCCGTTCGGACCGTAAACGTCAACGCCACACGAATATGTTCTGTAGACGTTTCATCTCTTCTTATCAATGTTCAAAACAGTTGATTATACTTGTGATTTTATCATCCAATCAGATATTAGCTTTTGCATTCCCATACTAAACCTGAAAGAGTCACTTTTGCGATGAACCTTTAACGTACAAGTTTTATTCAATAGAGCAGTTCAGTCTATACGAACGCGATGGAGTAACCATGGGATCTCCCCTCGGCCTGTTTTTAACCGACATTCTCATGAGTGAATTCCAACGTAGCGCTTTGCAACCAATGACTGATCAGTTACTGATCTGCTGACGCTATGTCGGTTATTACACTATAAACGAGATGATTCCGACCACATTCCAATAGGCACTCGACACCCCATTTCCCTGTGGAACAAAAGATCAATAATATGTTTAAGTTTCCGGATGGAGATGAGACAGGGTCTACCGAAAATCAACGTGATCTGGTGAATGCACTCACTTCCACAGATATGTGGACATGGAGTACAAAAGAAATCTTACCAGAATCTAGTAAATCGGACTCATTACGTCTGCAAGATAGCATACTAGATCCCGCTTTGATGTATATATCGGAAGCCTTAATAGAAACTAGACATCCGGAGAATCTTGAGGGACAAGTCTACAATAGGTGGAAATCCTTCAATGCTGAAACCGCACATCTACATCAGGGTACCATTCAAAAGCGACAATCCCTCTGAAACAGTCAAGAGGAAGGTGACAACCTTAAGCAGAAGAATGGTCAATGTCTCAATGAAAGACCCACCACAATAGTGGTCGCCTGCTCAGGACATTCAAGGATAGGGTACCGGTCCACGACGCTTCATTCATTTGCGAATGATCCACATATTACTTCGGTAGGACGATTCGGCGTTTTTATCAAGAAATTGCTGAGCCCGCGCCCTAACTCAGTGGAAACAGACTAGCAAAACATGTGACGAGCGCGGCCGTCGGTCACCTGATCAGCACAGATCACTAAGTCAATCCGGCCAAGTCGTTGAGCGTGATCTATTGAGTGTCGCCCAACAGCTACAGCACTCGCAACAGCAGAGACGATCACCATGCGACTACTGGAAGCATTTTTGTGTCATCAAAAGCGGCAGGTGAAAGCATTGGACCTGTCCTTGTTGTCACGGTTCTAAATAACCCTGGTTTAGTGGCTCTGGAAGCATTTTTGTGTCATCAAAAGCGGCAGGTGAAAGCATTGGACCTGTCCTTGTTGTCATGGTTCTAAACCCTGGTTTAGTGGCTTAACTATTTCTCTTTTTACCGTACACTGTGCTCCGTAAGCCTGATTTTGTGCAACTATGTGAAATACGTATTTCATTGGTAACTATTTGTCAGGCAAGGCAACCGCGAAAACGATTGTTCACAATTCCCGGTGTTCCTCAATTCTTGTGTTTCCAACTAACCAGGTGATTGCACGCAAACTAGCCGAATCGTATTTGTAATTGACAGAACACGTCGAGCGATATCAATCTAGGATACTAGTATTTAGAACTCAGGACACTTCGACTTCTTGGTCTGGGTAGTCGCTTAGCTAGAACGCGAAACATCGAGTTCAGGGCATTTATTAGCGCACGGATAGTTCCCATTTCATGTGTCTCTTACCAAATTTTCTAACCCTTTGGGGGCCGGTATTTTAAAAAGACTAGCCACGCACAAGCAATACTCGTACACTTTACCTTCATCCCGCTCTATATTTTCTATCCAGCGAAATGTGTCATCTTTAGTTGACTCTGGTACCCATGTTGTTTGCATAACTTTGTTTCATTCTTACACGCTTTTGGCGTACTTATTCTTCTGTGGTTTATGCGTCTGGTGCTGCTTCATTATTGCCATTACCCAATTAGTGATTTTGTTTGATGCTGTAAGTGGATTTCAGGCGGAATCGATTCGTATGTGGTTTAGAACGTGCTGCGCATGCCGTGTACCGGGTGAGACTAACTTGCTTGTCGAATGTACAAGGAACTCTGAAATGGACTGTGTCGATGATGAATTTCCGTTTTGGCAGTCATTAGTCGCGTGACCAGTTGGTCAATAAGCAACATATTCTAAGTTTTTTTCAATACTCTTTTCCCTTGACTCCTATTCCAGACTCCACCCAGTACTTCGGCAGCTATGAACCCGATGAGTTAACAGTACGAGTCACATCATTCGGCGGAGGTGGGCAGACAGTATTATCCTATGCAGAACGGTCGCCGAACGTTCGACCACCGTCGGGCATGACCAACTTAGCCGAATTTTCTTCGCCGATGTCTTCCTATACCCAACCAGGTGGCAGCGGCAGTCTTCAACCACCAATCTCCAGTCAATCTGGCACTGAGCCAGCTTTCGGTGGTACCTACGCCGCTTTTTTGGATCCACGTCCCCCAAACACTTGATTGTGATGTGCGTATCGAATCCTAAATACACCATGCACTGTTCACTTTAACCTCTCTCTTGCTCTATTACCGCCGCCATTCTATTTGACTTATGCATTTCCCCTCGTGTATATTTTTGTATTACATCATTTCCTATGCAGAACGGTCGCCGAACGTTCGACCACCGTCGGGCATGACCAACTTAGCCGAATTTTCTTCGCCGATGTCTTCCTATACCCAACCAGGTGGCAGCGGCAGTCTTCAACCACCAATCTCCAGTCAATCTGGCACTGAGCCAGCTTTCGGTGGTACCTACGCCGCTTTTTTGGATCCACGTCCCCCAAACACTTGATTGTGATGTGCGTATCGAATCCTAACTACACCATGCACTGTTCACTTTAACCTCTCTCTTGCTCTATTACCGCCGCCATTCTATTTGACTTATGCATTTCCCCTCGTGTATATTTTTGTACTTACATCATTTTTGTTAACCTTTGGGGTTGACCTAGCGTTTGTACAGCTTCATATTGGCTCTTCAAGGTGCCTAGGAAGCCGCATGGTCCGACAATGCTTTCTCCTCTTCATCTGCTCCGATCCCTCTTGACCTTGTTCAATCCATGCTTCTGATATGTTCTGCTGATCACAGAGGGTGGTCTGCACTGTTCACTGTTGACTCCACAGTGTTTTTCACAACCTCATGCATCCCTTCTCCCCTGTTTGTAAGTGTTTCTTTATCCTCACGTGATCCTAATTTTGGGTTCCTGTGGTTCCCATCTCCGTTCTGCCTTCTCGCAAACATGTTAGTATATACTTTACAAATGCTGGTAACTCGCCGTGCCTGTTCCTTTGCATAAAACTGTATAATCAGTGTTTCCGTTAATTACGAGTAGTTCGGGGTTTTAACAGTTTATTTTTTCATTCCAGTAATCAGTACTGACCTCTGCAGTGGTGTATCATTTATTGAATCCTTACATCTCCCCCCGCAAGGCATTTTTGATTGCGTCTGGGATACAAGGTGAGGCCGAATAATAACGTGACAAATCGATGGCCATAACAGTCAAACAGGACTGATCATGAAGGGAGCATAATCAGTCTAGGGTATGGTAACCAGAACAGTTGTCGTTTCACCAAATGTGACGTGAGTGTTACATGGAAGGTAGTCGGCCGAGTTCAATTATTGCCAAGGCGGTTGTAACGCCCTGGGTGTTACAACCAGGGGGAGATTACTCTGTGGTTATGGCTAAGTATCGATGTGGAGCTAGTTCAGGCGTATACCTATGCCTCCGTATTCACAAGCTACGCTTCTGTCGACCGTTCCTGCATTCGTTTTGCTTGTGGGTGCTCATCATCAGTTACTCGTTTGACTTAACAACACGAGAACCTTTGTGGAAACATTGCCAATTGGTGGTGAATAGTATTCTTCAAAAATTAGTCTCAAATGGTATTCACTCGTCACGTGTTTGCAGAAAGATGTATTTAAAAGAATTGTGGCCAAAATGTGAATGCTAGGCTATGGATTCATGAAGAAGGGAGGCTTTGCTTATGGCACCTCCATATCAAATCTGGCTTCATTGGTGGACGCAAACTATATGCATTCGAGAGCAGTTTTGAATTCTGATAGTGTTTCGCAAACCAGACCAGGGTGAAAACCGCAGGAAATATGTCAATTATTGACCGTCTTCATGCAGCCAGGATTGTTTTAGTTGCACCCAGGTCTATGGTCTATAAGACGGTATTCAACAGTCAAAACATGATAGACTGTGGATGCGGTTGTCAGAAGGAAATAACTGTGTTGGTAAAGTTTCCCAAAAATCCACACTTCATGGCTGGTGAAAAGGCGAGGATATGTTAGTCACTTCAACAAACCTTAAGATCCTATGTATGGCGCAATGTGTACTTATCCCAAATGTTGCGATTTGGATACTCCACAGTCGGTTGTTTGTTCTCCGAGTTTGGCATTTGGACTGCAAACGTTTCATCTCGAATCGAGGTGGCGTCATCACCATCGTGTTGAGTATGCTCAACTTGTGCTCATATCGTTTCTAAGTAGCATCTGGTATCTTTAACACGTTTGGTTGGTTTCGAAGTGACTTCAGCGTAATTTGGTCGGCCAGATTGCAATCTGAGTTGCATTGTGGTGGTCCGCTCGGGGGCCTTCAGTTCGACAATTCTTTTCCTTGTAACTGGGTCGTTCCTGATTTGTGGTCTGGTTTTGCTCATTTGATTGGTTACTCGTATAAGCCTCCATTTTCAGTAGCTTTCTTTGTTCCGTTGGTTGTTAGTTTGTTTGGTCTCGTGTTCGGCAACTGTGTATTTCTTTTGTTCTTATCAGCTGATAGACCAGGTCGATGTTGATGCGTTAATCAATCAATTTTCGGATGGAGCACAACGCCTCGCCTATTCGCGCTCCTGTTTTGTTCTTGCGTCAGCAAGTAGTTAGACGTCATCCCAATTTAATAGATGGCAGTTTTGGTAATCAGCTGATCCAGGCTAAATTCAGCATCCAAAATGACGTTAGATACCATGCCTTTGTGACCACTGATGAGCTTCACGTTAATGCAGTAAAACCTCAGAGGATGGAAACTTTGCGGAATATGGTTAGCCTGGGTGAGCTACTTTGTTTCTGGTATGTTCGTTGGGCTTGTCAGTTGAATTACAAAAGTTTAATCACCAATTGACATCTTCAGTGAAGGCTGACCATGTCAGCTGGTTGTTTTACCGCATAAACGTGGAGCGCGTGAGTGGTGAAACAGTACCTTTTGCATGGCATATCAGTTCATTTTTAAGGTCCTGTTTAGTTTGGATCAGATGATTATAAAAAAAGTCAATCCACTCTGTCACTGAATTGAACTCTGCAGCTCAATGGTTCAGATCAACTGATTACTGCCCGATCTCGATGAGCAATGTCTTGAATGTTCACAGTAGATACAAGCTGTCCGAAGTTGAGCTGCTCGAAATCGCTGAATATCAGGTCGATCGGACAGATGTGTTGCAAAACGATTACGGACCAAAGAGAGCATAACTTGACTGGTCAAAATGTGGGTTAATCAATGTGGAGTATCAGAAAGATTCTAGCTTAACCTTGTAGGAGTTCCTATAAATGCAGATATGGCAGTTTTCAAGTTTCAAAAGCTACCGCATCTTTTGATACACCAGAGTGGGCGAAATGGTAAACCAAGGCGTAACATGGGAGAGTGGAACCACAGAACAACTCGTGATAGGTATTAGGTGACTGTAATTTGTCAAACTGCGCACAAAGGGATGTTCCTGGATTTTGCAATGTTTCAAAATACCTTACTTAAAACGCGACTTTGGGAGCATCTAATTCACTGTGTAAGCTGCTACCTGAGCGACAAATCTTTTAAGATGGAAATGCGACGTCTTCCCCCTAAGAATAGGTTTTTTTAATGCTAAAAGGACCTGAGGAAAAAGGCATAATCTGATAAACTTGTCTGAGGTAATGAGAAGGAAATGCATGTAAGCAGCAGCTTGGATTAACGGACAAAGTTCGGCTCATCTTCAGTGAGAAGTCTATTTCCTCGAAAAAAGTGATTATCACGGAATTTCTCTAGTCACATCCCGTCCTTCAATCGTCTCTACTCCTCATTAATTCTTCCACCACCCATGTTAGTATAAATGTGGATTACCTATACAATTTGCAGTCAGGTGAGCGCAAGCCAGTTCACTGAGCCTCCAGGAAAATGATTTTCGATTTATTACTGAGTTTCTATTCAGTAATAATCAATGCCGATCGTTCGACTAGGGTGCATGTTTTGAAGTTGTTCGAAATCTGGAGACACTATTCAAGTTGATGCTGCTTTGTCCCCCGGGTCGTTCATCTATAACGACCCATGAATATTTCTTAAGTGGTGTACTCTGTCTTTTGTGGCAAGGGTCTTGGCTTCGGCCAAGTGATAGGGTTTGAAAGAGTATCCCCTCTACCGTCATCCATATGGCCATGAAGAAAAAAGGCTTATAGCTCAGTTCATGAACCGGATTTTAGATGTAGGCCGATACTGATAATGCCACATCATCACAACGTTCTGACGGCCCGATGGCTATGAAAACTAAACTCAGGTGCCACCAAAGTAAATGGGTGAACTCGGTATGGTAACTGAATTGTAAGTTACAATGAGCCGCCTGTACCTGAGTATGTGTTGTTTCGTTTAGACAGGATGGATGACAGGTCAAAAGGGTATTGTGGTACTGCAGTTCTGAGCTTGGACCACTTTCGTTGAGATCTTTCGGCACTCCACAGGGAGAGGCATGTGGCTAGTATCAGAAGAAGTATAGAGGAGACTCGTTGTTTGCTTCAGTGTCCACGTTCACCGTCCGATGCAACGCTTGGCTTTCTTTAGAGGACTATCCCAACAAAAATCTGTCCAGTAATTGGTGACTTCAATGTGCCCAGCATTGATTGGAATTATCCCTATATCGCAGAATCATAACAATTTCGGATTCAGAGTCTTGGAGACTAATTAACCCTATTCCAACACAACACATTGAATCTCCTATGAGAGTGATTCCTGGTCAACCGAGTAAATTCCTTGATCTTGTAGTGATCTCAACAACCTTAGATGTCAGCGAATATACACTCATTTGCAAACCAATTTCTTTCTTTCGAGAGACTCATCTGGAACCCAGCTGAATCTCTCGTTTATGATGTTCTCAGATGTCGACGGTATACGAACAGTTGGTGCACCCGATCACCTCCGTCTGTACTTCAACTGGAGAAGATTTGGAAGATTTTGTGAATCCTTCGATCTACGCAGAAATTTTTGTGTGTGGCGTAGGCGGGATGACTTGTTACTGTGGCGATGGATTGGAACGTGCCACTTTCTTTCTATGCTGAAACATCGGAGATATGTGTGTAGAAATAGGGGACAGGATCTAACGTTAGTTTACTCCACTTTGTGCACGACCTTAGCCCCGTCAAGTCCACTGTGGATGGATGCGGGGTGGTGTGAAAAGGGAAACGAGTGTGAGGTAAATTTAGAATCAGCCGGAACACTTGACCACCAGTAAGCCTGTCGCAATCAGTGTTAGGCAAAGAAAGCGGCGTAATTACCAGCCTAGGTTAGCTGTGTTAACTCTTCGGACGTTCATTGGACGAAGGTCAGTTGCCCCTGGAATGAAAGTCAGTGTTTGTGAAACCACTGTACAAACACGATCCAGTCTTTTTTACACCCATGATCTGAAAGATGATGGAACGGTTTATCATATTTGCAGGGCATTCAAGTGTGGGAACCCGAACAATGCGGCTTCTAGCATCATATGCCATGCATCACCACCCTACCGGTGAAAAGGAGAGTTCCTTCGAGTTTGCCCCTATAGAAACATGAACAAGGTAGTTACAGGCTATTAGACATGAAAGAGAAACACTAATCTGAACAGCGTTTTCAAAATGATCACTATCCTCCTGGGGTTTCCTGCATGTTGTTTGAGTATTTTGCATTGATAGACAGATGGCGCTTCAAACTGCTTTGAACATTACTCGTATGCCTCATCCGTAGTACACTACGTTACACTGGCACCACAGGCAATCTGCAAAGACGTAGATACTAATCTTGGTGTCGTCTTCATTGGCCTTAGTAAAGCATTTGATATGGTTTCACACCGACGGCTTCTGCTGAAGTTATCCACCCACGGGCTTGCTGGGAAACTTGATAGATGTCGGCTGGACATTCTCGGTTGGCGTGTAGCTACTTGACTGTTCAGCTCACAGTCGCTCACTGGATCACGAGACGTGTCTTTTTTCATGCCCACAAATCACGTCACAGTAAGGTGACTCATGGGACATCGACTGTCTGTACAGTCTAGTGAGCGTAGCAACAACTCATGTGCTGGCCCACCCACATGCACGCAAACGAC